ATAATAACAGTGAGTAATAATTACCTGTTATCTGTTATATGGCTTGAGATCATGCCATGGCTGAAATAACTTCTGAAGGGCTGGGAAGAATTGAAAACAAAAATTATTACAAAGTACATGGACAGAAGTGTGAAATATTCTCTTAATAATTAAACCTGAATTAACTTTCTCAGAGAAAACTCCTGAACCCTCAGAAAATGCTTCCAACCTCCACAAATAAACACAAACCCCACTAAATCTCTCATTTCATTAAATCATTAAATAATTTAGGTTGAGAGGGACCTTAAAGCCCATTTAGCTCCAACCCTCTGCCACACCTTCTACCATCCCAGAGGAAACAACAAAATGCTTCAAAAAACATCAAAAGGCTTCAAAATGTATCCAAAAAGCAAAAAAATGCATCTATAAAAAGCAACAGCCACCCCCAGAAATGCTGTGCTGTTTTCTCCCATGCTCTGGGTCACCCCCTCAGTTTTGTTTGAGGTTGGAGATGTGCAAATTCAACTTGTTAAGCCCTGCACAAACCAGATTCCATCCAAAGCAAATTAAATCTACCTACAAATATCTCCTGTGCAGGTAGAAATTGAATTATCAGTGAGCAAACACTTGACTGAATTAGCCCTGCAGTCCTAAGCCATCATACCATGGATTTTTCAGGTGGGTGGTGATTTTAAAAAAATTCAAATTATGTGGTTTTAGCCCTCAAACATGAAAAGTGAGATGGGATAGGGAAAAAAAAAACCCAATTTCATGTTGAATAATTATTCTTTCTGCATGGATAGTCTGAAGCAGACTTACCTCCCCAGCCTGAGATTCTGAGAGTTCCAGAATGAAGGGAATTTCAGTGTCAAAATTAGCAAAAAAGTTGGTCCACTGGTGTTCAAAAATCTTTAGATCCTACAAGGAAAATACTTGACATTACTTCAAGAGAAATGAAGGCAAAGGTGGAATATTTCACTGGAATACAGACTGCCCAATGAAACAATAAGCTCAAGAAAATAAATATATTTTAGAAGATAAGGACATTCTGCTGGATTTTAGGGTGTCTTTATGTGGGTGTGTGGTTTATGTTTATTGTTTTCAGAAAATTTAAGTCAATTTAGCAACAACTTTCAGGTTGAAAACATCAAATTATAATAAATAGGTCTGCTCAGAGTGGAGGACAAGTCTCAAACATTAATCTCACTTCCACACAGAGAGGGGAAGTGAAATATCAGAGAGTGATTACTTAAACTGAAAGCCTTGTAAAAACTCTATATTTTAATTTTCATTACAGCAGTTGATTGAACAACCAAATTAGTGTGAACTACCAATATTTTATTAATAAAGGCTAATTACTGCTGAATTTTGTACATACTAAATTGCTATCAAGCTAGGAACAGATTAAAAAATAATATATACCAAGAATTCTGAAATTATATATACTACGAAAGTATAAATACTAATTTAATAAATTATAAATATAAATAAATTTTAATAATTATAATAAATCTAAATTTTAATATAAATAAATTTTAATTACAAATACTAATATTTATACACTGTTTTCTCCTCCAGCACTGAGATCAGAGCCTGGCATTAATGTGGAAATCCCTTCCCTCTGTTTGTATTTCCCAAAGCACCAGAGCAGCCACTGAGTGTCACTGTTCCCCACTTGAAACATTTGAAAAATGCTTTTTTATTCTCTTTTATTTATTTGGAAGAACGGTTGTGTGTTAAAGGGGAATTTTTTTAACCCTTAACACACAAAAGCACAGCAACTTCATGTATTTTGTACATGGTTTCATGACATGAAGGAAAATTTTTCGAAGGTTTTCAGACAATAAATTCAAGGAAAGCAAGACAAGTTATTTTAGTGTTTTGCAGAGTTTGTGGTAGATTGAAGGAATAAATCAAGCAACAGCAGGCAGAGCCTGTAAATTAAGCCCACAAATTTAATTAAAACCGAACAAAATCGAACTTTTAACTCTGTGGTTACACCAAGCAGGAGGTGACACAAATATTTCACCTGCATTACCTCAAAAAGCAAATCCTCCAGGGACACAGGATCCATTTTGCTGTAGGTTTTCCATAAATCAGCACTGACATCCATTAACTGAAAGAGATTTTAAACACATTTCTGTGAAAAACACCACAAAGAAGGCCACAGATGCAGATTTAACCTGAGACAAAATTGGAAAACAGTGCCCTGTCTAACAGTGCTCCTTAACTCTGATTTCACAGATATTTCCACTCTGATTTCACAAATATTTCCACTCTGTTATAAAAGACCTGACCAGTGAAAGTCTGAACTCTGCACAAAGCTTTCTCTGCATCCTCCAAACAAACCATTTCACAATATTTTCTCAATTTCATAGCAAAGAACTGCACGAGCTGGTGCAGGCAAAAGGGCAAGATGAGTTTTCTGAGTTCAGACAGCCACGAGCCAATTCCAGGTTTAGTCATCCTGAACATCAGCCAAAACTTGCTCCAAGCTGATGTAAATTTAGGCTTAAGACAGTTTAACTTTGCAATACT